TGTCTAACCATGAGTTACCTGAACACCAAAATGAGTCACAGAGCATACCAATTAGCATCTCCTGGTTTTTTGTGTTCCTTTTTCGTATGTACACGTCCTGTAGAAGTTTATACCGGCAATCAATTAGCCTAATGCCACCTAATTCAGCAAAAAAGGCATCAGAAGCCATTGGGAACATATTTTATGTATGTAGTGGAATAGAATGGAGGAATAATTGGAAGTCTCTGGATGATGGTTATTTCTCCTGGATAGTTAGACCTTCCATTTCCCTCCTGGATGTTATTCAATCTCTATCTGACGTTTTTTTTTCAAACAGTTCCCCAGTTTATGCTCCTCTTGTTTATGTATTTCATGCCATGGCCATACAAAGGCTTAATGATTTGGATAGGATGCTTAAAGCATATGAATTCTTGCAAGAGGACTCACAATTAAGCCAAGTGCCACTTGAGAATCTTGATATGCAAAAATTAAGCAAGCAACTGAATCGGCTCATTGCTACGTCCAGGAAGGAGGCAGTAAAAGTAACCAAATTCTTAAGTGGTTATCTGCCATTGTTGGCTTCAGAGGGAAAATGTATATGCAGCCAGAGCTTTAAAACTGGTGAGGTAAAATGTTTGCCTCCAGATGATGGCACCTTGGATGAGAATTCTTTGCCTTCTCAAATTTGGAGGTTTCTCTGCCAGAATATTAATATTTGGTGCTCTCATGCTTCTAACAAGTATCTGAAGATGTTTTTATCTCATTTGCTACTGTATTCATTGCCTTGCGGAGGTCCTGTTAGGGAGCCATGCATAGGTGAAACTTTATGCAACAAAGTTGATATGCACCAAATTGCATTGGAGCTCATCAGCGACAGTGCTCTATATGAACAAGCTGTAAGTAAATGCATTTGACTATAATGTCTAGGAGAAAAGATTGTTCTTTAATTCTGGACTCTTACATATAAGAAGAGAGACAAATTCACACATTTGTGCTTGATTTTAAATGATCGAGTTGGTTTCTTTTTTTGAACTTAATAAAATAATCACTTTCTTTTCTCACTAAATTTTTTTCGCTTCCAATGGCACAGAATACCTGTCTTGTGTTAATTTGAGAGGCATCAGGAGATCTTACCCTTTTCTCTTGTGTCTAGGTTCTGTCCAAGCATTTAACATCAAAGTTATGCCAAGTTCTGAAGAAATCATTCACTTTTCTGATAAATCATGATAGCACAAGCTGTAAGGATATGTATTCATTATCAGAATGGTCGGAGATCTTGACCACATTAATTCAAGGGCCAGCAGTTGATATGGGTGGCAGACATGCTTTACCTACTTCACTGTCAGCATCTAATTTGGTCCATTCAGACATCTCTTGTACAATACCTTCTGGGAGGCAATCAGGTCTTTCGTTCCATATGCAACTCAAAGTTTGTGAAGATTTACTATATCTATTCTGTAAGATGCCCGGAGTTCATGTAACTGCTACTTCTTTTGTAGATTATGCAACATATATACTGAATCTTGAAAGGTAGATATTCTCTTAATTTTGTTTCCTTATATACGTTTTTGTATCTGCTTAGTTGTTGCATCGTGAAGGAAAAGTATGCATTGTCTCTTTTTGGATAATGTTCCTTTTATCCATGTGTTAAACATGACAAATAATTCTGAATGTTTTCTTTTAGAAAGTTGTGACTTTGCTATCCTAGTAGTAGCAATTCTTGTCTACTTTTAGGTGTCACGTGTGAGAAGGATGACTAGACAAGACCCATTAACAGCATTAAGGAAGAATGTGGTGGCCCTTATGCTAACGACAAGACATCAGCCTTGTTAGAGTTTAAATGGTGGGAGAGGATTCATGCTGGTAAACACAAACAGTTAGATTTTTAACTTTGAATTGTCAGTTAGATAGTCTTAATGATAATTAGCATCATAATGCCTTAGAGGGATATCTGATCAATTTGTAATGAAGATTACCAGGTCATGTGCGAGCAAGACTTTGGCAAGTGATCGTACATTGTGCATGCTTGTGTTAGTCATGTCACAAGTTACTCCGTCGTGCAAATCATGTATCAAAGACATGTCTGATTTAGGATCGATATGAGAAAGTTTCTGCCCTGGTATTTATGCTAACCAGCATTTATTTGCATGCTTTGATAGAACAAACCTTGATTTGATACTCACTGCAATTGTTACCACCGATACAACATAAGTAGGAGTCTGTGATTTGGATGTAGTGACATGCATGCATGATTTTGATCCTACTTTATCTAATGCAACTTTTGTATGTAATGCCATTCATAGCAAGGAATCCCAAACTGGATACCTGTATCCTACTGTCCTTGGATAGAATGGTATGTACTGTTGCCACACTGCATCAATTCATGGTAAGGCTGACAAGTTCAACACAATTAAGAATCACAAAAAACAGCCAAAAGAACTAGAAAAGTCTGATCATTCATCTTGTCATTTTGCATCAGGAAACATAAAAAACAAACAAAAATGAGGATCACAACATGCCATAGCATTTTCAAAGAGATGATCTACCCATATTCAGGTTGAGATGCTCACCTACAACTTAACAAACTTAAATTACTACAAAAACAAAAAAAAGTAAAAGAAGTTCCTTTACTGTGTTGAAGGGCTCCAGTGGGGTGCTAAACTACTGATCAGCTGACATAAAATCCATATTAGATGATCCTAGATGATAAATTGGGCTAAGGGAAGCCATCATATACTAAGTCCTGATATAAATTCACAATATCATCTGAAATGGTATTAAGATCCATCTTCCCAAATCATATACTAATTCTTATTGAGGAAAATAATTTGACATGGTTCAATTTATACAATTTATACTCAAGTGAGGCATGCTAAAATAGGCTAGTGCTGCAAGGAACGATAGATTAAAAGAATTATGTTAGAAACCACAGAAGAACAGAGTTTTTAGCCTAATTAGTTAGTGATGATGCCTTGATAGAAATAGATGGCAGAAAAGATCCATATATCAGATAGCAAGTTTGTTTGGAATTTGCTTATTGATTATCAATAAACCCTTAATGAACTGGAATTTGGTTGATAATATTTATTTGTTAATTTGTCTACTTGGTCTTTAAAAATTTTTGTACTAATGTTTCTGTCATTGGTTTAGGTTAGTCATATCAAACTTATTGACAAGTCGTGAATCTTTGGTCAATGGCGATAACCTCTTTGAGCTTTGGAGATTGTTTATTTCATGTCGACGGGCCATGAAACATCTTGTGGTAGCATCTGTTGAAAATGCAGAAATCCCAGAGGCCTCATATTTGTTGACTGTATTTAATCATTCAACTATCTTGTGGTTATTGAAGACAGCTGATGAATTGGTTGGACTGCCACATGCATTTTTTGGAGAGAAGTATTTCAGTCAGATGAAAACTATGACATTTTCCTTGGTGGATCACACAGCCTATATATTTTTGACAGTAGGCAAACAACTGATGAGTACTGCATTACAATCTATAATAAATAATGAGAAGCTTCATATGAAGCTCCCTTTACATTATGACAAAACTAGAAAAGATGCTTATAATGTAATTGATCAGCACATTGTAACTTCAGAAAATGTTGGACCCTGGAAATATTTGGAACTTTTGGCTGAGATATTGGCAGATCAGATAAGAGATTCAACTGTTATATTGAAGGATATGGGACATGCACTCAAAGAAGAAATTGATCATAACATTTTGAGCCTCAATAAATTATCGTGTGTTATATCTTGCCTACAAGGGTTTCTATGGGGCCTGGCATCTACGTCAGATAGCATAGGTATTGACCACGTTACTGACAAACAACAATCACAATCACTGAGGTTCAACCATTCCTGTCTTTCTAGATTGAGCAATTATATTGTTCTATTTGAGAATTTTGTTTATTCGTGTATTAGTATATTTATTGTTGATGATGGACAAGACAATGAAACCCATCCTACACATAATCTCCCATACAATAATAGTTTGTATAGAAATGTACTCATCGAAAGTGCTTCTGGATGTTCACATCATCATGAGCCATTTTCTGTTGGAGAGCAAGGAGCAAGATCCAAATGCTCGGCTTGTTATAGGATTGACATCAAAGACTCGTCAGATGATGAACACACTAAGAATTCCAGTGTAAAGAAGGAAAGATCATCAGATAGCCACAAGAAGTGGGTAATTAATGCTTTTAGAGCAGTTCAGAATGTTGATTTGTCTAATCTGCAGAATTTGAGAGGGTCTTTCTTACAAAATTTATTAGAGGGTGAAAGTCCCCATTTAGCATTCATGGTTAGACAACTATTTTTGGCTTCTGCAGCTATCCTTAAGCTAAAGTGTACGCTTTTATTTTCCAACAGTCTGAAACCACATGGCAATTTTTATTACTTGTCATCAAAGTCGATGGGTCTTCTTGTTCAAACTTCTCATATTATTCTACAGGGAATAGCAGAAATGGTTGGCAGACCAAATCCATTTACCTTTGTTTGGGTAGATGGTCCATTGAAATATCTTGAAGTTGTTGGGAATTACATCAGCTTGTCTGATCCTACCTTGACAAAAGATGTGTATGCACAGTTACTAGACATTCATTTGAGAGTAATAGGGAAATGCATTTCTCTACAAGGAAAGTCTGCAACTCTTTCATCTCATGAGACAGGATCAAAGACAAAAATGCTCCAGAGAGAAACTCATGTGAGTGTTCATAAGAAGCAATCACTTGTTGGAGAATACAGCATCAATGAATTCAAAAGTCAACTTCGGTTGTCATTCAGAAAATTCATTGGAAGACCGGTGAAATTGCAGTTGAGGACAGCTGTGCAAGCAATAGAGAGGGCCCTGATTGGAACACCGCAAGGTTGCCATATGGTGTATGAAGTAAGAACTGGAAATTTTGATGGAGGGACGGTCTCCCCAAATGTGGCAGGTGGGATTGACTGCTTGGATATGGTTCTTGAATATGTTTCAGGTACTTTGCAATAGTCTCATGTTTTTTTTTTTCCCTTCTTTTTCCTGAATGAGTTTCCTATGAATACAAGTGTCTGCAGTCAATGCAAAATGAATATTTAATTTTTCGAACAGATGGATTGATTTCCTAGTTAACCTAGAATGGAAATCATCATTTGGCAGTCAACAAGTATTTGCGGTTGCATTCACATGAAGTACCCTGCTTGAAAATGTATTCATATTATAATAAGTTGCTTATCGATAAACATGCTATTGAATAAAAATATTTATCATATATGAAATTATTCATAATTCATTTTTTTCTGGTATGGGCTGCAGAACAAAAGCAAGTCATAAAGGAAAATATCTCAAGTTTATTGGGTTGTTTATTCAATATAGTTTTGCACCTCCAGCAGCCAAAAATATTTTACATAGAGAAGTTACCTTATAACAAAACTGAGATTAATCCAGATTCCGGTTCAGTTGTTCTTATGTGTGTTGAGGTTCTTACAACAATTGCTGGGAAGCATTCATTTCAAATGGACACATGCCATGCTAGCCAGTGTTTGCAGATACCAATGGTACTTTTCAGGGACTTCAGCCACCTCAAAGATTCTCATGACTGTTCATTATCTACTAGTATTCCAGAGGCAGGACCCTTCCATGATGTTCATGATTGTAATGTTGATCGTCAGTTCTCTATCGATTTATACACTTCATGCTGCAAACTTTTATACACAACTCTTAAGCACCGGACACGGTACGTGCTACTTTTTTGGTGCTTCTATACTTATGAAATCTTTTGGTTGAAGCTTGATCTAAAATTTTGGAATAGTTTCCATTAAGTTGCCAATCAGGGCAAAGTAAGTACATGATGTTCACTTGGTTAGACTTGGATATGCATGCTTGAAAACTGTTTTTAATAATATTCATGTTATTTTGTGTCTTTCTGAGGAATCGGTAATCATGGAAGATTATTTTCATACATTTATGTATTTTTGTTAAAACAAGACTTATTGATAGTTTATTTATCCAGTTTGTACTAAGTGTATTTGTTTAGTTTAATCTATACAGATTTAGTTGACATGGATTTCTTGTTCATCAAATAAATTTGGACTTTATGCACCTGCAATTACAAATGACACTTTTGAATGGACTGCTTCTGAAACTTGTTAATCCTTGTAAGTATCAGGAACCTCAACACTTTCTGATGTATTGGATGTGGGCCATTAAACTTGATATACTGTGTCTGGGGATTACTAGAGTTTTGTGTAAATATGCAACCGAGACTATCTAAAAGTAATATTGGCTCTTAGGCAGATAAGAACTTTGATAGTACTGTCATACCTTGTAACAGTGGACAATATATAAATTAGTTACTGAAGTTTAAGCCGGATCGTGATAGTCAACATAAATTTTTGTGGGACATGTTAGAATTACTGATAATATTGGCATTTAACTTTTATATGTGTCAGGTGTAAGATTGTTGATATAAAATGATATAAACTTCTTAGAATTAAATGGTTTCGGTTGAGGTGAACATTGCAGCATGATTGTTCACATCATCCTGTATCCTCCCTTTATGGTCTTGGACTTATTGGTTGTCAGCTTGTCAATTGCCCAAGCTCCTAATTGGTGTCCAAGCTAGCTTTGTTTGGCATGTTACACTTAAGTGTTGGATTACACCTTTTCGTACTAGTGTTGATAACTAGCTTGAAAAATAAAGTCCATAAGTGCAAAAATTTACTAAGTGTTGAATCCTTCCATAAATGAGGAGTCCTATACTTTAAAGGCTTTGTCAACTAGCATTAAAACTCTAGCCAAATTTCTAATAGCATCCATTTATTATCCAAAAGTTTCCTTCTCTTTTCAACATGCAAAGATGAAGGTTGGCAAAAATTTGTTAAATCTTCTTATTTCTTTAGGATGACCTCTTGTAGCTATTATCATGCTTCTAGAATAAATACTTCAGTCTTCAATATCCCTTTTACGTTGACACTATTAATGGATGAAATTGAGCTCTAAGCTGACACATTTTCTATTTGATGAAAGAATGTTCATGGTTTATTTATCTGACATTAAACTTGCATTGTGTAGGACTATCTCATATTCCTAAGTTAGTAATTTAATGAGACTAAGATAACTAAAAATCTCAATCCATACTGGTGTACCAACCAAGCATCGATACTGTATGTACCGAGGCATACCAATGTACCAGATATCGGTACACCGAGGTGTACCAACTGTACACCCAAAATCATCGAAAATAGCTCCAAAATACCTAAAAAATAAAAAAAAAGGTTAGATCAGGGTTTTTAAGTTAAAAATAAATATAAATTTAGTATAATTTTAGCAAAATAATGGAAATTAGGATAGAGTAGTGACATATCTTTTTTGGACTTTGAGGAATAGCTTTGTAATATGTTTTGGATCGTCCTTCCGTTAATATTGAATTATCTACAAAGAAATGATTTGAATTATTAGATTATTTTTTAAACAACTTGAACTTTAAGATTCAAATGAATTAAGTAATCGATTGATAAATATATCTGGTCTTACCATCAAAAAGAACGACAGAATTCCACAAGCGATGGATTAGAATCCTCGATCCTATGTATTTGTATATCAATATGATATGTTTGTTGGACCCAATCATGAAATTGATCCCATGACATAATGTGCTGATACATCATATGCTATTGGTGCATCAATGTGGTGGTGGTTATAGTTTGATCATTGTGAACCACGTGTCCAAGGTGGCTCCTGAGGCAAGGACGAATGTGACATGTATTGATGCAGAACATAGAGAATAACAAAACTTCTACTTTGGCTACTGATCTATTGCTCCGTATCGTAAGATCGATTATCGTACTGTTGCTCGAAAAAGTATGACCAACTATCATCGTACTGCTGTTAGCCATAAGATTCCCCATAATACGATGATTGTGAACACAATGAGCTTCGCTCTGTGTTTACGTCGTGTAGGCTCTATGACATTTGCTCAAGATTATCCACTGTCTTTCCCTTCCTTTTCCCTTTCCGTGCATAAACTTGATCAGTACCTCGTCAAGCTCCATGATTTGAATCTTGGGTGGCATGTGTAAAATACTGCTCCTCGGTCCATGTGCCTCCCTCAAATTGTGTAGACGAGACCATTGACTCCCTAGTGTTGCCACTATCATCGGTCGAGGCATTGCTATCCATATCACTACCATGTCTCTAGACCAAGCAGGTTGTTGAATGCTATTGCGAAGGTGTCTGGTTACCCGACTCGATTCTTTCCAACGAGTGAAAAAAAGTTCGAGTGAAATGAGTTAAGAGCATTGTGAAAATGTGAGAATGAGAGAGAGACACGAGTAAAAAAGAGTTTGAGAGAATTGAAAAGATTGAGAGAGTGAAATGAGTTGAAAGAGGTGAGAGGAAAGGATTTAAAAACCCTTTTCTAAGCCTCAAACGGTCAATTTGACCATTTGAAATAGGGCAATCTCAACCCTTGATCAGCAACGGTCGAAATCCGACCATTACCAACATGTACTGACCATTTGAAATAGGGAAATCTCAGCCCTTGATCGATAACGGTCGAAATCCGATTGTTGTTGATCGGTATAAGTTGGTAACCGTCGGATATCGATTGTTACCGTTCGGTACAGACCCCATCATGTGATAGTATCGCCCGGTAGAGGGCGATCCACATACTAGTATCCTGTTGGACCAGTATGTACCGCCCATACCGGGCTGACACGGACTTAGCTGGTTTTGCCTAAGTCGTGCGGCACCCTTGCGTGTCCGTCCGCAAAGGTCAGCCTCCCCAAAGACTCCCATTGTCCCTTAGGACCAACAAAAGGGAGAACAGGCAAAAGAGAACGCCTCAATTGGGATCCACAAGCAAACATGTCCGAAAAACACTTCATAGACAATGCAAAATACAAACAGACTTTACAAGCTCTGAACAGTGGCACAACAAAGGGTAAAATGGTCCATTACAGATCGAAAGCTCTCTCACGTGTCCACATGA